CGAAGGAGAAGCTACAACATACTTACAGAGCCAAAAGAGCAAGAAAACTGTGTGCTCCTGGTCTGTAACAGGGGTCCCTTCTGCTCCTTGTTGATCATTTAAAAATTTTGTCCAGCCCCATTCCTTCACATCCGTCAGAGACCAGCCCAAATGGTCTGCGTTGGGCTCTTGCCCATCTAGGGCACCCATTACAGGGTCTTCCTCTACGATTGGCAGGTGAGTGATCATGGCCACATCCATGAGGGTGGGGCCGATGGGGGCTGTTGGAAGAAGGAAAATACAAATCTCGGGGTGCCAAAACGCCGCCATTGCTAGAAGAACTTTTTCATGCAAATGGCATGGGAGTATAGATAGACGTATGGCCTGGTCGATCTGTTGAGTTTTCCATTGACCCTGGAAATGTTCTGCTACTCTTTGGTACCAGGTGCGATATGGATCCTTGGGGTCTGTCAAATGAGTTTTGATGTTGTCATGGAGACGGATTGCGCTGTAGTTGGGGTTGTTGATAGCTAGTAGATTTCTTGCCTCCAAGACTTCTCTCATTCGGTTGGAGTTTTCAAGGGTAGTGCAGTAGGGGCGAATGGTTGGAGTAAGCATTTTCGTCGCCACAAAAGCTGTTTCGGGGTTTGATCCGTCGAAGGGAAGGGCAGGTATGTATTGATTCGCCATTGTTTGGAGTTGCAGGAATTGCAATTAACATGAGTGGTTTTGAAGAAAGGGGGAGTGTTGCAGAAAAAACTGATCGCAGTTGCAGAGGCAATTCCTCAGTGGGGTTGTGGTTTATGAACTTCCAAACGGAGATTGAGAAATGGTGTTTGAAAGTCCCTTGGCGGCGGGCAAGTTGTTACGTATGAAATTTAGAATTAGGTTAAAAAGCCCAAGGTAAAAAGAAAAATGGGTCTAACAATTGAGGTGATCGAACTGGTCAAGGGGTACCGCGGGAAACTCAGGTGAAAGTAGATATATTTCTAAGGAAATAGCGGGTCGGAAGGTCCGTAGGTCGGAAGGTCCGCAGGTCGGGAGGTCCGCAGGTCGGAAAGTCCGCAAGTCGGAAGGTCCGCAGGTCGGAAAGTTCGCAGGTCGGAAGGTCCGCAGGTCGGAAGGTCCTCAGGTCGGAAAGTCCGCAGGTCAGAAGGTCCGCAGGTCGGAAGGTCCTCAGGTCGGAAAGTCCGCGGATCGATTGGTCTATAAGTCGGGAGATTTGCGGCTGGACCAAACAAGTCGGATGGTTTATTAGTCGGGAGGTTTGCGGCTGGACCAACAAGTCGGATGGTCTGTAAGTCGGAAGGTTTGCGGCTGGACCAAACAAGTCGGATGGTCTGTAAGCTGGGAAGTTTACGGCTGGACCAAACAAGTCGGGTGGTCTGCAAGTCGGGAGGTTTCCAGTCGGATCAACAAGGCGGAAGATTTGCGGTCGGACCAACAGGGCGAAAGAGTTGCGTTCGGGCCAAAAGGGCGGAAGGTCTATGGTCGGTCCAGAGAGTCGGACACTGTTGAGAGTGAATGAGAGTGATAATTATGGTCGGCTGAGGGCACGTGTCAGCAGGAGAGGGGTTAACAGACGGTTGAAAAGAAGCGTTATAACCGTTCGGGCGACGGTTTCCAGTACTGTTTCTGAGGAATATTTAAGGATTTGGATTTTTCTGGAAAAATTATCTTCAATCAACTTCAACAAAAAAGCAAAGTCAGATTCGGGGATCACCACTTTAAATTTCCAGCATTTTAATTTCCAGTTAATTTTCTTTTGTACCGTACAATGTTTAGAGATTCCTAATCTCAGGCACTAATTAATCAAGTTCGAAGATAATTTCTACTTTTGGATTTTACTTTTTGTTTGTTGAAAAAATACATCAACAGGTCCGTTTCACAATAAAGTATCTATTTCATTTTTTAGTAATTGTACTATCTACCTAAGATTACAAATACTCTTCCAATTTACAATATATTACACAAATATCATTATATTTATATCATATAAGGTTAATTTAGTCTTTTTATTTTTATTTCTACTTTATCCCAATACAATATTAATATTTCTAAAACTCCTTGAAAAAGCAAATGGATATATAGATATTGAATTGAGGGAGTATTTAGAGTGTGTTTTACTATTAGAATAAATTTATTCGATTTTTTTATAAGTAATTATATCATATATATATATAATTATAATGTAATTCTTCCAACTCATATAATTTGTTTTTATTTTTTATTTTTGTCCATCTTACATAATTTGTTCTTTTTTTAAAAAAAAAAATATAATTATATACTTTAATCACATTTTAAATTTTATATATTATCATTTTATAATTTTAATTAAATTATTTAGTTATCTTAATCTTAAATTGTAATTAATTTTATACTTTTTAATTACTTATTAATCATCTTTTACCTAAATTCTCGTATATATAGTAACATACCCAAATTTACATGGGACGAGGGAGTAATGTGTTTGAATCATTATTACTATTAAACATAGTTTTATCTGAAGCGTGATAATTTTTTTATTCAACGATGTGACTTTTCATTTTTCTCTATTCTTCCATGTCTGCTTCACCACTTTCCCATGTTTGCATAACTACTCCACAAGACAGACTTTTTCATTGTCGATTCCTAATTTTTCCAATAATACAAATCTTAAATCAAAATTGTTTTCAAATTCTACTGTCACTTCTATTTAAGAGAATTGACCCTGCATTTTCTCCGTTTGTTTGCAGCGAAAATAGGCCACATATGGAAAACAACCCGTTGCTGGAATAAGGTGATTAATGTATTGTTCTTCCAACAACATATTGCCGTATGTATTTCAGCTCTCCAAGATAGACCGACGCAGCTAAAGCCGCCCTGTCCGAGGCGTAGAGACGGTGATAAATTGGAGGATGTGCGGCGGAAGACAGAGTCTATACGGCGGTTTCCTCGAGTCGGCTTATGGTGCAGTCTGTTTGATGGGCGTGAGTGAGTACGGTGATGATGAATGAAATTGCCGCGGGTAGTATTGAATATTGTTTTACATTGGATATGATGTGGAAACTCTATTGGCTTATAAGAGCATCTGTTATAGTCACCTTTTTCATTACTTTTATAATTGTTTTTTCAGTTTTTACTATAACAAAATTCATTACCTTTAATAAGAAATACAATTATCAAAATTTATTACATTTATCAAAAACCCATTACTTTTAACAAAAATAAATTAAAAACTATCTAAAAGTTTCTGAAATTTTAAAATTTAAATTTAACATAAATTATCTATAAATATATTTAAATTTTATTAACCAATTATCTACCTTTTCATATTCAATTCAATGAAATGGCTAGTGAAGATACTAATCTTTTCCATTTGTTCTTAAATCAAACTGTTGAAAATAAAAATTCTTCAGGCAATGGATCAAACCAAGCTTCTTTTGATAATCCAAATTTTCAAATACCACCAATACCGCAAGTATTCCATATGTCACCATCATTTCAAATGTCATCCAACACACAAATATTTCAATCTCCATCTATCTCTCATAATGTGCAGGGATCAACATTGATGAATCCGTACAACATGCATTACCTTATTCAGTCTCCGGTTCAAATAATGTCTCCATGTAGACCAATGTCAAAGCTGTCTGGTACACAAACTTCAAACCAGACGGCTATGTCATAAAATGTAGAAGAAGTTTGTAGTCTATAAGTGTTACTATAAATGTCGATCCAATTGTTGGCAACAATCAAGATGGTGATGCGCTTTGGAGTCGGGTTTATGCCTACTATAATGACAATAAATCTGAAATCGATGATAGGGCGAGAGCTAGGCACGATGGAATCACGTTGGTACAACCACATCAAGAAAAAAGTGTATGCTTTCAACACATGCTACAATGTGATCGCAAGTGAATATAGGAGTGGTCATAGTGACAAAGATTTGTTGGCAATGGCACTTGAGAAATATAAATCGCAATGTGGCACTAACTTTAGGTGTCTGCATGTGTGGGAAATTCTAAAAGACGAGCCAATGTTCCAACCACAAATAAATGAAGATTTTTCTTCTTTAAAGAAGGCTAGAACATTATATGCGAATACAAATCATGAATCATCAACAGGAGCGCAGCACGTCGGATTCAACCTAAATATTGATGAAGTTTGTCCAATCGGCAATAAAGCTGCAAAAATAAAAGCAAAAGCCAAAGGTAAATTTAGTGAAGGACCCAAAGGGGGAGGCATTTGATGATTACTACAAAAGATTCGATAAGTACAATGAATTAAAACAAAAGGATATTGAATTAAAACAAAATGAGATCGATGCTAAAGCAGAAGAGAGGAAAATTCAAGAATGAAACATCGTGATGCAGGATACTTCGAATATGTCCGAAGTGCAACGTGAGATGCATAGTATTTTCGTAGGTCAACTTATGGCAAAGTGGAGGCCTGAGCAAAAATAAAATAATGTGATTATTTTGGGTATGGATTATCAATAATGTGTGTCGTGCATTATAATTTTGAAAAATAAGACAATGTATATTATGTGTTTCAATAATGAATTGTTACTCTGGTTTTATTTGAATATATTCCATATTTTACGTGAATGTTTTTTCTTGCATTGCATTGAGACTTGATACATTCTCGGACAAGGTATCATCGTATTCGTATGGAACAAGCTCGTCATGTTATTTTCTGATACACGGCTCTGTAAATTTGGTAGCGGCCAATGTGGTTGAATGATGCTTTTAGCAGAGTTTTTCTCAAATCCATCCTAAAACAGCAACAACAGCAACCTCTATCTCCACTACAAAAAAAATATCAATTTGCAAGGGAAAATTACTACCGTATATAATCTATCACAAAATTGGAACATTATTTACTAGAATAAAAGAAAAGGGTCGTAGTTATGATGCGCTGTGAGGAAAAATTGCAACTAATTAAATCTGTAGGAGAAATCCTATAATTTACACGTCGGATATGTAAATAAGTCACAAAACTGCAATGGAAATAGCCAGAAAATTCATCCGTCCCAGAAATCCTATAATTTACACGACGCATAATTCGGCCCGTCGCAATATTGTAGGGAAATCTGCTACAATCTGAATCTCTTGCAATTCCTACAATTTACACTACGAATAATTATGTCCGTCACAATATTGCAAGGGCATCCGCAAAAAATTGAATCTCTTGCAATGTTTAGGTATTTATTCCCATAAACAAGATTACAATTCCGTGCAAACACACATCACGAAAACACACCCAAACACATCCATTGCACCGGCGACATCTATTCCGGCCGTTTGGGAAGTTTTATCACCGCCGACGGGGCTGAATTTGGCGGCAGGTGAGGTATGGTCAACTTTCACCGTTTGCTTTTGCTCGGGTAACTTGAAGAATCACATGTGTAAGGATTCCAGGGTTTCGTATTATTACAATTTGTGTTCGATTCATTAGCTATTTGTCTTGTTTCTTGTTGTTTTTGCTTATAACATCAATCCTTAGGAATGTGTTCAATTAATTTCAATTTAATTGTTCGATTCATTTCAATTTCAGGAGCTATTGACCTTGTGTTAATCAGTTAATAGATTATAATTTTAGTTTTTCTTTGTCTTCTCAACTAAGCACTGTTCGTGGTTTTTTTTTTTAAAGAAATAGATAGATTGATGTATGTTAGAGTGTTCAACATTAATATATTAACTCCGTAAGTAATATAAGATGATAATGTTTCAGGACATCATAATCTGAATACGGATGCACTTTAAGCTTATAATAATCAAAATAATATGATTGCAAATACATTACACATTCGAAATGGTTTTTCATAATGCTCAAATTTACTAATTACACCTTGTTAACAAAGCATTGGGAATTTAAAGTTGGTCTCACATTTGTTGCAGGATTGAGTTGGTGGCAGCTTGACTCCCCCATCAGAGTTGGCAATATCCAAGTCAGTAAATGACTTCCTAGTTTTCATTTGCAATGAATGACTATGATCTAATGGATTTAAACGATTACATTTTTTTTTGGGCATTATTGAGGCCATTGTATATGTGACTCTGATGCTTTGAATGAGTTTTCTGGTATATAAATATTATTATTTTAAACCTATAAGTATAGGTATTTATGCTTTGAATAATTGATGCCGGTAGATAGATTTTTACACAATTTTATTTCGGTTTGTTAGTATTTTGATAATAAAGTTTTATCTTAGAATAAATTGCAAGGCTCTGGATGTGGCTGAAATAATCATAATAGAGCAGTCCGATTCTGTTTGTTTTACATTTTTAATTTTTCTTCTATTTGAATTTTTCAATTGCTTTGTTTGCAATATTCACAATGAGTGCAAAGTGTCATGTATGAGCTTATGTCTGATCCTACAAGAATGATTCGGTTGTAATTTAGCTAAAACATATTACTATATAATCATTTTCAACCATAAATTGAAATCCAATTGGGATTTCAATACTATATTATTTGGTGTCATGTGTCTATATGGTTTTTACCCACAACCAATTGGGAATGACATCTTTCGTTTCATTTATCAATTTTTAGAAAGTTCTATGAATATAGGTTAATGATTCTGTCCCAATTAGAAGAGCAAAAAGCAGTTGAACTCTAGAGGAGGTAAAAAAGAGATGTTCTTTTATATTGTGTTCAATCTAGAATATGTTTTTGTTTTGACCTCATATATGATCTAGAAGAGGAGAGTTTAATTGTTGCACATAAAAGAATTCTAGCAGTTTAGTGCTATAATTTTTTTGACATTTCTTCATATCTTCTGTTGCCAAGCATGAAATATGCATGTAATTAATAAGTGTAAACGGCTTTGGTCCAGGATGATACATTGAAAAGGGCTGTTGTAGCTTACAGGGGAAAGTGTTGGAAGAAAATAGGTATATTTAGGTCAAAATATCATCTCTTTTGTCTAATATTTAGTTTGCAGCCTTTTTTCTATTTGCAACATAATTTTTATTGAAATTCTTCGATTGATTCGGTTATCTTAATGCTTGTTATGTTCTATTCAAGTGTTTGACGTTTAGGTATCCAGTAGATTCCATCAGTTTGCTGCCACACACATTCTACTAATTATTAGATTGGAGTTAAAGTAACTGCTTCTTGGAAGTTGTGATGAAACTCAAATGCTGGCTGCACAAATGGGAACCAGCTGTAGATAAAACTGTAGTACGTAGATTTAAACAAAGGGAGATGTATGAATAGCTTCCTTACACATTTTGATATATAAGAGTTGGACTGCAAATGCTAATACGCCTTCATTCTTCTGTTTAATCACTCAACTAGATAAAATGCGGTTGCAAGAATATAAAATATGCAATTGAAAGACTGTTCTTTGAGTTGAATAAAGTTTTGATAACCAATAACAATCCAATCATAACCATTGTTGTTCTTAGTTTGAGTTATCTTCTCAAAAAGATTGGTATTTATGCACCGGAGTTCTGTCTGGAGAGAACATAAGTTCAGTGTTATAGATGGCAAAATGTTCTGAATCCAAATCTTGTTTAAGGTCACTCAACTCAAGAGGTTGGTTGTTTTTTCCTCCAAAAACATGTATCAACCATTCTAATATTATATATTTGATTACAAGATTTATGTTCTTAGAGGATGAGAAAAAACAAAACTAGGGGATAAATATGGACCTAAAAAATGGCCTACTATAGCAAAGTCTGACTAAGCAGTCTGTTGTGTTTATTCGGTGATAAATTAATTTTCTCTGATTATTGAGAGTGATTAGTATTAGCTAATAAAATTAACATTTGTAATTGCTCATGCTGTCATTTTTATTGTTAGAGAATCCAACATCATGAATTCCTTTAATTTTTGGAACACTTGGTAATTAACTGATCAATATATAGTGCACTCGAATGATTTTGTAATTTGTAGTTGCCATTTGTGACAGGTGAAAAGACTACAAAGAGCTTGTCTCAAAAACCCTGTTAAGGTAGCTGTGTGATTGTTTCCCGTTAGTTTTCAATAAAACATTCTCTACACAATAAACATCTTATTATTCTAAGTTTGAGTATAGATTGAAGCTGCTTCCAAGTATTATACCGTTGATACGCTGAAGCAACAATACTATTTTGTTCCTGCAAAAGTACAAGGTCCATAGGTTTTCATGATTTATTTCTAATGTGATTTTTCATTTCTCTTGACATTGATACAAATATTTTCCCCTTTTTCTACTTCAGGATTGTTATCTTGTATATATATTGACTGAGATGTCGGGAAGTACATCTATGATTTTCACCCGTACATATGATGCAACAGCCCTTTTGACTCATATGCTTTGGAATCTTGGATTCAGAGCCATTCCATTAATGGCCATATGACTCAGATAAATGTCTGTAAACATGCTTGTTTTCGTCATCTCGTACCTATTATATTATAGCGGTAACTGATAACCCTTCTCTCTTTCAAGAATTCAAAAATCATCACAAGAATCCCAACAGTACTGCATTTGATTTTGTTTGTAGTTTCATTTTTCATCATGTATGTATGTTATGTATACCTTTAGTTGAGAGCTAGCTAGCTACCTTATCAAATTCAAAATAGTTGTTTGTGCAAGTAAGTTCTTGCATGTGCTATGTTAGGTATGTAGACTTTTGTGATCAAAAGAATATTTCGACTGCAAGATAGCATAGAGTTTGTATCTCATTTGCATCTCCTCAAAGAATACATCAAATTAGTGACTCTTTGATGGCTTAATATTGACATGGGATACCTATTGCTAGTGTTACCATGATGTAATTTTCTTAGATGCTTTTGAATCCAATATACATTGTTTTTCTATAACTTGATTTCTTAATTAAAAAATGTGAATTATATTGCTGCCTCACTCTTTCACGTTAATATAAATGACCTCTTGGCTTGTTTCTTTCGCAATGTTTGTATGTGGGGTTTGTGTTAATCAATATATTTCAAGTTCATCGACTATATTTCGTTAATTGTGTTGGAGTTGTGTGTCAATGACAGGTTCTGCTTTTGATCCTTAGACTACGTAGCATGTCTTGATCATGTCTATATTTTGGAATATAGGCAAAATTTTTGAGAAGTTCTATTGTCAATAAATTTATTGTTTTGTATGACAATGACAACATAACACCTTGAGGCATAATGATTAATAAATTTACTATCTTTTTAATATAAACTTGACATTTACTTAATTTTTTTATTACACTAGTTATGTATGGTTATTATAATTTGATTTTTTTTCAAAATGATTATGCTCCAGGTACACTTGAAATGACTTCAAGAGGTTGTCTAGAAGTTGATTTTGAAACGATAGTTGGATATCTCATTTAATTTGCTCGTATTGATAGTTCTATACAATAAGAACATGGAAACAACCAAAAAGATTTATTAAAGGACTTGAAAACAACAAAAAAATCATTGAACTTTGAACTGGATATGAAGCTTTGTCGCAATTTACCATGACGGAATTTGATGGATGATTTATTATTATATATTTTTTAATTACCAGTTTAGTTGTTTTGTATGATATTTTGGTAAATGGAACTAGATTTTATACATTTATATAACATGTGCTACTAGGGGTATTGATATTAAATATATTTTATTCGTATGTGGTTTATTATACTCTATTTTGATTTGAAATTTTTATATGATTTTCGTTATTTTTCATATCTTTGATGAGAGATATTAATCAAATCATTAAATTTTTTTTGTGGATGATTGAATTAATATTTGTTATATACGTTCCAGAAAAATCGGCAAAAGCGTATACTACACAAATTGCGACGGAATTAACAATAGTTATATACCATCGCAAAATGTTAACTTTACGACGTTGCAAAAAATTGCAACGGAGTCAGCAACAAACCATTTCTCTTGCAATGAACTACGTCAATAGTATCTTTTTGTAGTAAAATTCCGTGGCAAAAAATTGCGACATAAATAATGGTCACTAATTCTGTGGAAATTTTCTGCAATGGAAAATTTTATTTATCACATTATATTACTACAATAGTATTTACTACTGCTCCCACTTGGATGCAAATTCTATTGTAATTGGAAGTTGTGACGGAAATTTTGTCTCTTGTGACAAAATTTTTCCGTAGTAATTTGTAATTTTTTTTGTAGTGAATGGAATGGTGGGTTGATTTATGATATGGGGTGAGTGGTTTTATTGGTAAATTTATGTTTATAATTATTTTGGACATTTGTGAGTTTAGTTTTTAGTTCGATGTGGTTGGGCTTCGTGGTGGAGTTATCATAATTAGGTTTGATTTGTGGCCTAGGCCTTTGAATTGGACTTTTAAATGAGGCATCTGGATTTTGGGGCATGTTTGAAGAGGGCTTAGGTTTTATGGGGTGTGGATAATTTGGGCATCACGGGGATATGGGTTGCGAATGATCTCGTTGGACTTCAATGGATCTGGGTCTTTCCTAATTTGGGCCTTGTTTATTGGGTTGTTTTTTTGTTTTTATTTTTTTGTGTAGTTTTTTATGGTTGTTTGTATAGCGCCAGGTAATTGTTTGTAATAGTGGTTGGTTTGTGTATTTTCGACAATTGGTAATGTTAATATTTTAATATATATATATATTTAAAAAAAATCCTGGCATTGTAGAAGTGAGATTCCACATCATTAGCACAACTAATAAAGATTACTTTTGATGTAAGAAAAGAGCCGCTCTAAATAAAAGATAAAATATTACATTTTTTTTTGTTTTTAAAAGTATATATTCATTTATTGAAATTAAAATAATTATTTCAAATAATATATAATTAAGACATTTTATAAATAATATTTATAATAAACTTCATATTTTAATAACATTATATAAAAATTTAATAAAATAATTATATTAATTAAAAACAAGGTAAAATATGATAGGTGTTTTTATTTTCAATATAAAAGGGTTTTTATGTACTTTTCGTAAAAAAATATTTATATTTGTTTTGCATAAAATATTTAAAAATAATTAAAATTAATATTTTAATACCACTTTTATACTTTTTTAAAAAACTAATAAAAAATACTAAAAAAATTTAATACTAAAATTACACAAAATAATGAATAAAATAATGTGGTGTTTTCAAATTCAGGTAACATGATGTGAGGGGGAGAGAATGTCTTAAGAATGGTTGTTTGGTTCTTACATTGTACATGGTTTAAAAAGGCTTTTGTTTATCTTGTACCTACTGTACTCGAAGGTTTTGTGTCGGTGGTTAAATCATTCAATTGATGTATTATTACAATTGTTGAGGTATGCAGTAATTGACAATGTGCTGCTACCAAAGAATTACAAAAAGGCCAACAAGATTACAAAGGACTTGGATTTTACTTGTACTGTTATAGATGCATACATTAACAACTTTAAGTTGTCTATCCCAAGGATGTTGATCTAATTAAATGTGTTGTTTGTGATGAAGTTCGTACAGGATAACTTCATTGTGGTAGTAGAGAAGATAAGGTACTTTTCCATGAAACCCCATTTGTAAAGATGGTTCACGTCCTCCAAAATTACGTTTCTATATGGTGGTATACTGAAGGACATGTAGATCATGGATATTTGCATCATGTAGCGGATAGTGAGACATGATATTCAATCTATCTATGTGGCTATGCATGAAACAAACTGTATTTCATTCATTCAACAATTACTGACGGTCCGAAAGGACCGGACAATTGGATCATTGTGTTTCTCTAAGATTTGTTGAATAATTTGATAGAATTTGCAAAGTACAAGTGCAAGAACATGTGATTCTAGTTGTGACGAGGTTTTCCAGTTGCAGAGTAATTTTTCAAGGTATGGTATTTTATCAAGTTGGCTGACATGTACGGAGATCACATTTCCTAATTGTGGGGTGAGTAGACATTCCATTATTTAAAAAAATGGGCACAAATTTTGATATTGGTCATAGGTTCTATTTACCCGATCTGTAGAATATGCATTGACTGGCATTCATTTGATGGAATAATAAACTTTAATATGCGTCCTACTCCTTTGACAATGGAGGAACTTTAGGGACAACTATTAAAGGCACTAACCAAGTATCTTAATGATGTTTTGATTGCAAAAGAGGTAGCACAACAATCTCTAAAGCACCGTCGGGGACAAGACACAAATGTGAAGATATGGAATAATAAAATCATACTCTTCAAACTCCCATATTGGGTTAAACAAGTAAGTATGGCACAACCTTGATTTGATAAACATTGAAAAAAAAAAAAAAGATATTTTGAGAAATATAATTTACACATTGTTGTTGGGCACTAAGAGAAAAACCAAAAACAACCTTATTACAAGGGAATATAAACGGTTGATAAATATACAAAGTTCTTTTCACCTGGTGGCAAAACCAAATGGTGGTCTACAATAACATGTAGCTCAGCCTATAGCATAAGCTCTACTGAAAAAATAAAAAATAAAAAATTCATGGGTTTTAAAAAATTTAACACCCTTAATGTATTATTTTCTAATATGTCCCTGAGTGCCAATTGAAGAACAAGTAATTTGTGGTTTGAATAGCTAAGGTTGTCATGTTCTAATGCAAATAATTCTTCCAATTTTCACCCATGGGTGGATCTCAAAATTAAGTAGATGCCGTATATATGAAATTCATTGTGTAACGCCAAAAGAATGATTTCATTCTATCTTCGTTTGCATCTCTTCCGTGAGACATCATTGTTGTCTTGATAGTACTTTGTAACTTTTTCAATGCAATGTGCCCTTCAAAAAAATCAGCCTATGATTTAGAAAAAATTTCTCTGACACATTATGACTAAGAAAAACTCCTCCATTTTCTTCAATGTGATGGAGAGCAAGGAAATTCGAGTTGTACGAAATGATATGGAGAGCGAAGAAATTCAAGTTGTACAAAATGATAATGAGGCCATTCTGAGAAGAAGAGATTTTTTTGGCAAGAACTTTAACCTCGACTTCATCTCTTCTCAATAAACACATGGATACATCTTAAAGACAAATTATTATTATGGAATATAATATAAAAGTAATTCCGTTGCTAATTAAGGATGAAATTAGGGATAGAAAAAAATTTGTCTCTTAAGTCTGAACTTAAAATTAGAGCATCAACATCATCAACCCATAATACCAATACTTTACAACACCTAGCAATCAAGCTGGCGACGGACGGCGAGGCGACGACAGAGGTCAAACAGTGACGGCGACGGCGGGTTATAGCCGGCATTGGCGGCCTTGAAGTTAGGTGCATCGAAATCAATGTTTTGTATTTTTTTTATTTTGAATCGATGGTTGCCGGCTGAGAGCCACAGAGACCATCTCTGGCTGTTGTGGACCTCCCACTAGCCAACGACGATATTTTCTGAGGAGGGTGGCAGTTTGCTATCCCCATTCTTATTTTTATTTTGTTTTCATAAATTCCACCCATCGTCCAGTAACAAGCCACGGAGACCGATGGTGGTTGCTGCCGGCCGTAGTGGATCGTCCATCGGCTGGTGGGGCCATTTCCATTTGTAGTTATTATAATTATCGTTATATTTCTATTTGTAGTTAGTTCGATTTGTGATTTTAAGTGCGTTACTAAATAGGGTGATGTAATTTACTCTAGTATAACTCTTTTTCCCGAACTGAGTTTATGTTTAAGTTAAAAATACCTTTCATATAATGCTTACTATGAAAAAGTTTTATTACGTAAATTTCTTAACTAAAACCATCATGTTATGTGGAGTTTGTCTACTTCAATATATTTTGTGTATATATATTTCTTACATCTCATTATGCTAGATATGCTTTAGTCAATG